TCGCCCCGGGGCCTCCCCGGGCCTCGGGCCGGCCTGTAAAGCTCGCGGGGGCCTCGGCGCACTGGAGGAGCATCACCCGCCCTGGCGTCCCTAGGCCCTCGTCTGCGCTAACGGGGCGTTCGCGTGGGATAGGGGTGGCGCGCAAGAGGCCTTCGAGAAAACGCGGCCGTCGGGGAGCTTACGGGGGCGTCCTTGATCCCGGGCCTGGGGACCCAAAAGCCCGGCCCCTGGCCCGGTTCCGCCAGCTGGCCTGACCCTGGTTGTCGCCGTCTTTGCGGTCAGCCCTTAAAATAGGGTGGCTGAGACAGCAGGGTAACGAAGCGCTGTGCACGGTTACCCGGTAGGCCCTTGGGGCCGTGTTTTCATGCTGACCTTTCCGCTCCCTGCCTGGGGAGAGAAGGCTCCACGCTGAGGATTTTGGCCCCTTTGGCTGCAACTGCCAATGCTGTGCTTCACCTCCGTGAGCGTTAGCAGCAAAGAAAGAGCTAGCAGAGACAGGATCTTGGCTGATATCCCTGAATCGGCGATATCTATTCCAAGTTAAAGTGCTAGCAGCTTGCCCACACAAACGCTTCCACCGTTCCTGCTGCCAGAGGAGATGAGACAGGTGTTGCGGTGTAGTAGTGGGAATCTTTGCTGTGGGCTCAGGGTCCCATTGGGTTTTTTCAGTCTTTCGTTAGCACAAGCCAAAGCTGCCTCCTCTTGCTCCTTTTCTAGCAAGAGTTGCAAGAGTTCACGTTTGTTGTATAAACAGAAAAACTAAAGGACAGCTTGTCAAATGTTGGCTCTCCTTGTTCATTTCCTCCTGCTCTAGAACTCCCTGTACCGAGAATTTTTAAAACAAAGCTGTGAAAGTGCAAAACTGTTTTTCAAAGTATTCTTTTAAAAGCTGGCATTTACCCTTTTAAGAGTGTATTCCATAGTGCCATGTGTATTTACCTAAACATTTCTGCTTTTTTATGTTCCCTTTACAGCCATCTGTCTGTCTGGATGTACTGAACAGAATGGATATTGCAACAAGCCTGGAGAGTGCATGTGAGTAGATGGCAGTTGCAACCTGAACTTCAGTTAAAATGTCGCCTTGTAATAGAAACTTAAACTCTTTTCCATGTCATTAATGTTTTAATTTGACTTTTCTTTTAGCTGTCGTCCCGGTTGGCAAGGCCGCTACTGTGATGAATGCATTCCCCATATAGGCTGCCGCCACGGGACTTGTAAAACACAATGGCAGTGCATATGTGATGAAGGATGGGGTGGCCTCTTCTGTGATCAAGGTTAGTTCTGAAGGTTGTGCTTATGGCTCTAGGCTGGGTACTCCTCAGTACTGGACCAAGAAATCTGACCCATTCCATCTAGAATTAAATTTCTGCAAGGTTCATACCTTGCATCAGTTTGCACCACCGCTGTCTTAGATACCAATTCTTGTATTTTAATGATTTTGTCTGAAAACAAGCAAACGTTTTTGGTAGCTGCAGTTCTTCTCTTGCAAAAAAAGTTTTTCTCTTGGAAAAAAAACCAACAACCTGGATGAGTGTTGAAGAGGCAAGTTTTCTGCCTGCTCAAGCCAAGTTTAACTTATTCCCTGTACATCTATAACAATTTACTAAACAATTTCCAGCAGCAGTAAACACCATCATTTGGGCCTTCCTTATTTTGCATACAAGGAAGTTAACTCATGTGATAAGTCTGGAGCATGAGAGAAAAATCATGTAAGCAAGAATGAAAAGTACAGGTTCCATTTTAAGGTACACCAGACCACTTCCACCTATTCAACCCATTGAATCACTGAACCGTAGCCAGCTGAGCAGTCATGTCCTCAAGGCCATATATGCACTGCTGGCACTGAGATCATCAAGTGCTCAAAGCAAGCTAAGTGTTTTCGAGACAGTTATAGGATTAAGATGGCAAAGTCTGAATTAAGCTGGAAAAGTAAAGTTGCAGATCTTTTTCTGCTTGTAGTTATCTATTAACCAGTTGTATTCCAATTACTCTGTGGTTTTTATAGAGATAATAAAGATTTTCTACTTGTGTCCTGTGAACTTGTGTGCTTAACCTCTGTCTCAAATTTAAAGGAAAAAAAAAAAAGGACCGTCAAGCTTGGCAGAGCATTTAGACAGTTTAAACTACTAACATTCATAACAAGAGAGCATGGTAAATAAACAGTAAAAGATTTCTAGTGTTTGTTTAAATCTCCAAGCCAAAACATCTTTATTTCCTTCCTGCCTCCCCAGAATGTGCCTCGGAGCACACCTTTTAAAGATGGGGCTCACTGTTTTAGTATGTGATCTGTTGTGCACAAAGTGTCTATAGTGCCGTGGCCTGTCTTTCAGAGAACACACACTTAGGAAGTAAGTTTTCCAACTTGGCATTTAAATCCCACTGCAGCTAATGGGTGCACACAAAAAATGGAGAGTGTACCAAAGCACTAAGAAAGTTAAATTTTTGCCAGGTCTCTCAAAATTCAGAGCTCATGTATTACAGTGATGGACGTAGAGAAATATCTAAAATTGATGATAATCTGAAACATCTGATTATTACTGATAATAGCCTGGATAATCATCTCCAATATTCCTTTGGATAGCAAAATGAAATACTTCATTGAAAATTCTGTCTTTTTTGTTGTCTAAAGTGTTTTTGTATGAATGTCCTTTCCCAGCTGTCAAAGACGTTTTCTCTAACTCCTGGTATCTTTGCAGATCTGAACTACTGCACTCACCACAGACCATGCAAAAACGGGGCAACTTGCATGAACACTGGCCAGGGCAGCTATACGTGTTCCTGCAAACCTGGCTTTACCGGTGTTGACTGCGAACACGAGATCAGCGAGTGTGACAGCAATCCCTGTAGGAATGGCGGTAGTTGCACGGTAAGGGCATTTTAAATGCAAAGTCTTTGTGTGAAGCAAGCCCTGGTATACCTTTTCAGAAATGGTTCTGTAACAACATAATGGGAATTCGATAGTACACAGGTTCATTACCGACGCTCACAACTATCATACTGAACCCTTCCCGAGAGGTGTCAGGGGAGGAAGTCTGTTACAGGAGGAGATGTATCATCTAGATTAGAACTAGTCAACTGATCCTTAGGTTTCTGTGGCAGCCATTATGAGAGCTTGGCAAGATCCAAGGTTGGTGAGGGAGCAGGTCTTAAAAAAAAAAAGCTTCTCAAACCAAGGTTCATACAGAAATGCGCTAAGTCTGCATTTTAATAGCAAATAAAAGAAAACTTCCGCTTTCTGTTACGGGAGCGTAGTGTCAGACAATATGAGGGCAATCAGCTGAAACACTTTCTGTGAAACAGGGTCCTGCCTTTTTAGTTTCCTGCAGTCTAGTGTTTCTGTGTGTTTTCGGACCCAGTCAATGATTGATTCTACCTGTTGATAAAGACTGATCGATTATAGATATCAAATGTAATCTGATGCATGTTTAGATTAAAGCTAATGGTGCAAGACCGCAGCTCCCTTCTCCCAAGGCCTTGGAGAGGGTACTTGGAAAGAAGAAACAGTTTTGTCGTGATCTAAGTGGTGGGACTTATCCATGGCAAAGCAACGTAAGCCCTTGTAAAGAAAAAAAGGGCTCTTATGCCGAGGATAAATGGCCTGATCACAGCTGTGTAGGTCGACACATGCCATTCTGCTCTGGGAGGACCTCAGGGATCCCATTAGACAGTAGTGGTGTTAGCAATGTTTTTGTCTAGCTGCCTGTAGGCTCCCTGCAACTGCATCTGCTCTGCTTGTGTAGCTGCATGATTACTCCTACAACGCTAAGTACGGCTGATTCACAGCTCTATCCCTCACAGGCCAGCCTGCAGTTATTTACTCTCCAAATGTCACTTTTGCCACATCAGAGTGTGGACGAGAAGGGACTGAACAGCTCTTGCTGCCGACCAAAAATAAGCATGCAAGCAGCTATCATTTGGTGTCATCAAATAACAGTGGCCTAATGTTGTGTTTTGCAGGACATGGAGAATGGTTATCACTGCCTGTGCCCCCCTGGCTACTATGGCACTCACTGTGAGCACAGCGCTTTGACCTGTGTAGATTCTCCATGCTTTAACGGTGGCACATGCTTGGAAAAAGAACAAGGGGCCAGCTACACTTGCATTTGCCCTTTCGGCTTCACAGGGTCCAACTGTGAAAAAAAAGTAGACAGGTGCACAAGCAACCCGTGTGCAAATGGTGAGTCTTTTTATCAAAAAAATCTCGTGTCTCTGACTCGTTTGTGCTTTTCAGTGCAGAAGTGATAGAAATCCAATCTGACCTCTACTCTTCCTCTAATACATTAGTCCCTCTCCCCCACTGTGTTTCACATCTACCCTAATTTTAGTCTCTTGCTGGGGGGGGCGCTTTCACTGGCATTTTCTGTGCAACAAAACAATGCACAAGGTTTAGCATGTGATGGGGAAGATGGCAGAATTAAGTAAGTTAAATTAACTTTATTATATACTTAGAAGGGGCATATTTTTAAGGCATGGTGATACAATTAGGTAAACTAGAAGGAACTTTTAGATGTGCGGTTGTTTTGTAAAATAACCTCCCTCTTCTTGAGATAGTATAAAATGCTATCATGTTTAGGTTTAGGTTTAGGTTTAGGTTTCCAAGTCAAGTGCATTGCAGACTAATTTTTTTTATTTTACTTTTTTTTCCTCAGATGGTAATTGCTTTTACCTTGGTCAGATTCGTGTGTGTCGTTGTCGGGCTGGTTTCTCTGGTCAGAAATGTGAGATAAACATCAACGATTGTGCCAGAAACCCATGTTCCAATGGGGGAACTTGTCATGATCTGATCAACGATTACACCTGCACGTGCTTGCCAGGCTACAGTGGCAGGAACTGTGACATCAAAACCAGAGATGAATGTGCTTCTGGGCCATGTGAGAATGGAGGCACGTGCTACAGCGGACTTTATAGTGCCAACTTTGTCTGCTACTGTCCTTCTGGCTTCATGGGCAACCGTTGCGAATTGCCAGTTTATTCAGTGCCCGTTACACTTCCTCCTAAACCAGTCCCCTGGATTGCTATATCCATGGGGGTGGGGCTGGTGGCTTTGCTCATACTGTTCTGCATGATAGCAATGGTCATCAGGCAGATGAGGATGCACCCAGAGCAGGACTTGGAGACAATGAACAACCTGTCTGACTTCCAGAAGGACAATCTCATTCCAGCTTCCCAGCTCAAAAACACCAATAAAAATAAAGACCTTGAAGTGGACTGCGGGCTGGAGAAATCAAACTACAAACCCAAGAATCATAAACTGGACTACAATCTGGTAAAAGACCTGACGAGTAGAGGGACACAGGAAGATAAATATTACAAAAGTGAAAAGTGTTTAGGAGAAAAGTCTCCCCTCCGACTACACAGGTGAGAATACAGTCTTCCTTCTAGTCTTTCTTAAGGCCCCTCATCTTCATACCAGTCTAGAAGCAGATGAGAAAATATGGGGAAAAAAGAAACCTCGAGCAGAAAATATACAACACAAACCAGAGCAAAGCCAGGAATCTTCGTACTGGAGTATGTGTGTCATGGCCAAGTGGCATCCGTAGCTAAGTCCATTAAATTGAGTGTTTGTGCAGGGTGCTGCTAGTGTGGGTACGGTGAAGGGGAAGGGGAGTGGCTAGGTCAGTGGTGAAAGTAAGAAGTGTCTTTCTCGGTAGATCTTGGAGGAAGAACAGTTAAGGCCTATAGCGATTAAAAATAAGTATTTTGCTTATTAAGAAGGCAAAATGATCTGCTTACTGAGAAGAACGATAGAGTAAAAATAACTACTCTTTTTCAAAAAAAGAAAAGGGCAGATGTTCACTGGCTGATCAGTCTTCTGATACATGTACTGAAAGTCTTGTCTGGGATCTGCTTGCAGCTGTTACGCTGAGGGATCTGAGGAGCACACTGTTAGGCTGGACATGGCAGAAGCATAGGAAGACATCCACTTTTCTAGCATAATGTCCTGCCATCATACAGAACATGTGAAACTTCATCCTCTGCACTTCCCTCCCACACCTTCACGGCTATCTCATTCCACCCCTCCATAGTCATGGTAGATTTTGAGAGTCAGGCTTGTCAGCAGTCAACTAACGTTCTTTTCTCTCTGCCCTGCCTTAGTGAAAAGCCGGAATGTAGGATATCAGCGATATGCTCTCCGAGGGATTCGATGTACCAGTCCGTCTTTGTGATAACAGAAGAAAGGAATGAGTGCATCATAGCCACAGAGGTAAGTAAGTACACACGTGTACAGGCATAAATTCACAAAGTAAAGGCGTAAATTATCCTTTAGAATTGCATCTGAGAAGGTTACTCTCTTTCCAGGGATCCTAATGCTTCCCAGCATTCCCCTCTCCTCTTCTGTGGCCCACACAGAACATACAGTGGGGAAAATAAAGAAATTAGCAGCTCTGATTTTATTAAACCAGAGATTTTGAGCTTAGATAAGTCAGCGGGAGATGAAAGCACGGAACATCAGCCCATAAAAATTCAGCACACTGTAGGATTATTTCCTCTTAAATAGGTAGTCAGCAAAAATGGAAATAGTAATCGTTCGTAGACCCGTTGATGTAAAGCCACGTTTTTTTCTCATGACTACAATGGATAATCTGTGTTCTGTGGAAACAGGCAAAGCTATAGATTTCCAGCAGAAAATGGAAGGTAGCTGCATGTGTTAGTGGATAGGCATAACAGCCATTTAGGAAAGTCTGTAATAAGGTAGTTTCAACCTCTTGGCGTTCAAGCTCCAGCTATATATTCTCTAACAGAAGTTAACGCTGTCATTGATAAACACATCTAGATTTTGATGTTATATTGAAAAGTCAGAGGACAGATACACGAAAAAGGAAGAGCCTAACATTGAACTTTAAAGACTTTAAAAAGCAGCTATTGAGGAACCAACCATTTTTTGAAGAATTACTGACCCTTTGGAAAAAGGCTCAATGGAAGTTAAAGGCAATTTGACATTAACCAATACCTGCCTTCTTCACTGTAGCCATCTTCAGGACTAGTTTCAGACTCCAGGAAAGAGAAGCTTGCTGTGCCATATAGCAGTGATCTGTGAAGTCAGATCTGCAGGATTCTGTCTCCCTTGCCAGGGTGGATATCAGATTTCCTCCTGAAGGCAAGCCGGAACACAAGTCAACCAACAATATTAAAAGTTTAAGACTAAGTGAAAGGATTTTCAAAGATACAAATGACAGCTAGACGCTTCATTCCCATTAACTGACCTAAATACCGTATCTTCCTTTGAAGATCTTGCTGAGCAAAGCTAGGCTCCCAGATTTACATCAGGCATCTCCGAAGCGTTTTTATTTTCAGAATGACAGCCCCTGAAGCCTCTCTCCACATCATACAGGCTTAATGCTTCTGAACACAAGCTATTTAACTACACCATATGCTTTTTACAGAGACCTAACGTTGAGCACCCAGATTTGTAAGCATTCTTCCCCTCAGTCCAGGTAGAGAGGCTGCTCATCATACAGACGACTTTTTTTGCTGGTGATTCTTTGTCCCTGGACACAGCCAAAAACATTGAACGCTGATAGTTAAACTGCAGTCATGTCTGGCTTAAATTGCTTTGGTTTCACATACTTGAATTACAATTCGTTAGTTCTGCAGTGCTCTGTGTGCTGTGCTTCCTTCTCATTCCTGGTATTATTTTATATCCTGACAGGTATAAGACTGAAGATCAGCCCATTTGCACCTCAGATTTGGTAATGCCAGTAGATGGACGTTCCTGCTGCATTGTTTACAATTCAGAACTGGATTGGACTGTTTTTAATTACATGCAACTTGCTGCTCTCAGGCGGAGGATGGAACTGGGTGAACTGGACAGACTGTGAATTTACTGAAAGATGCAATACACCTTTTTGTTCTTACTGCCCTTGTTTGAAGTTTGATACCAGAATCTCATTGGCTATAGAAGAGGGGAGGCAGAAGGAAGAGAGAGGCGTTAAAAATGTTGTTTCAATTTGTTTTTAAAAGATACTGAGGCCAGTTCCTCATGGACAGACCCCTGGCTTTCCAGAACTCTGGTTATGGGAGGTGCCGGTAGATGAGGAGGCACTTAACTATCACAGATGTTGCCGCGGAAGGTGTGAAGAAAGACACATTGCTATGCAGAGAATGGATACAGTATAAACGAGGTCTCCATTTTTTTCTGGGTTTCAAAGTGCCTAAAATGTGTCAAGAGAATCTAACAAGCCCAAACAGAGACTCGACTGCTCTTTTCGCAGTTACCTGAACAGTATTGGGCAGGGGTGGTTGATACTTCCTGCTACACATCTACGTGCGTCTCCTCTCTCCTGCTGCATGTACTGGGGACTGCGTAAGGGGCGAGACGAGGAAGGGAAGAGGAATGTCGAATTTGCATGTCATCTCATATGGTGATGCTTTGGAGAACTGATTGACCCAAGCCACAATATGGGACAGGATTTTTGTGGATTTAAACATTGGAGAAGGAAAAGTTGTGATAAGGAATGTGTGCTCCCTCTTCCCCATTGATAAGGAGGAGGCGTGATCCCAGCTCTATTTAAAGCCTTACAAATGCGTTTAAAATCAATCAGCTCCTAGAACCTTTATGTGCTGAGCCGTCTCAGCTGTTTTCATGCCCTTTGCACTACCAGTGATTGTGAATAGACATTACTTTTTTCTTCTCCTTCCTCATTCTCTCCCCCCTGCCTTATTTTGACACAAATTTGGGGGTTTATGTCATGTTTCTGAATTAGGTGCCACCTTCTACTGCAAATAGTCTCAAAATTGCAGCTGTTACTTTCTGAAGGAGAAGAAGCAGTGTGACCCCGCCCATTTCTCCATCTGGTTGTAAAACTCCAACTCCTGTCCTTCATCCCGGTTCCAAATGCCCAATAGCGAAGCACCCACTGAGATGCCCTCTGCCAAGACAGGTGGAGATGAGAGTGAGAAGGTTCTAGGCTCGTCCTGTTTCTTTCATGCCCTCCCACCTCTACAGGGAAAAGGGGAAGCCTGCCTCGGGAAAGCAGAGGCGTGCAGAAACTCTTTTCTTAGATACGTATTTACAGCAACAATACTGGACGCCCCAGTGGAAAGTGCTGTGCCGCTAATGAGATGAGACCGTGGGGCGGGGCAGAACGAGGAGGGAGGAAACAAGACCTCTTCGAAGAAACCTGGACTGTGCTCTCTCTCGGACAGCGATATTCCTGCCCTTGTAAATCCTGTTGTTGGACTAGCCCATCTACTGCCTTGAACTGTGCAGACAAGACCCCTTCATAATGTCCACTACTGACCTTCTGCTCTGACCACATAGGACCATTTTGAAGATGACCTTCAGAAATCAATAATATGGGGTTTAGTTTGTCTGTTTGTAGTTTATTTTGAAGACTAGTACTTCAGTAATTTAAAAAAAATCAGAAGCACTGAACTTTCTACGTTTTATAACATTATTTTGTATATAATGTATATTTATAATCAAAACAGAAGTGTAAATATGTTTATTACTTCTCATGTAATGTTTTTAATGTGATGACAAAGTTTGAATTTTATTTTTTTTTTCAAGCAATGAAAATACTTTCCTGCTACTACAGAGTTTACTGTGGTTTGTCCTTTTACACTTCAGGTTCCATGATTCTGTGACAGCCAAGGTTACCTGGAGCCCCAGAAGTAAGCTTGTCTGCCTGCTCCCTGCAGTCAGCCCTACACTTAGGTTTTTTCACGCCGACTGCTGTCGTCTGCTTTTATAACCGTTAACTGATGTCAACAAAGTTGTTCAGCTGCGTGGCATTCATCTGACAGAAAAGTTACACATATTTATATTGTGATATTTTATATAATATTTAAATTACATATTTATATATAATGATATATTATATATATATATATATATATATATAATTCTCTTGCAATGGAGTGGGACTGAACTGTCAGGAAAGTTATTTTTGTTACCGCTTCACTCTTCCTCTTCCATGACAACTTGTGGCATGGAAGATACAGATCTAATACCATTTCAGGGCGGCTTGTGGCTTAATAAATGTGCTGGCTTGGGGTTCACTTGCAGAGCAAGATATGATTACTATTTTTTTAATCCCATTTCTTTAAATACTTTCAGTAAGACCCAAATCTTGCCCTACTCAGGTTACTCTTGCGCAGGGTCTACATCTACACCTGCAAGATTGTATCCTTGTTTGCTTGATTGCGATGGGTGAGATTTGTCTTTCACTTGTGGGATCAGGGGGAGTTTCGGGCTTTCTCCTCCCGAGTTCCGCACGCTACACCAGCAGCCGTGTCCTCCCAGGGCATCACAAAGTCGTTATCCTCCACAGCCCTTTTGGAGGACGTTTCCACAAAAAAAGTGTAAAAAGCGCACGTGTATAGAACGCTCCCAGCAGGTTTAGTAGCCTTTGAAGCACATACGTTACAGACAATTAAATCTCTCACTAGGTCAGCTCGGTGCAATAGAGCCAACCTCTGAATGCACAAAAGCAAAAACTGTAAGAACAGGAAACCACTGCTACTCTATTTTAAAACCAGACTTTTTTTGTTGTTGTTGTTGACAAAACGCCAAAAAAGCATCTTAGTGTTGGATGCCTTTCCTTTCTTTCCCCAAAATAAAATCCAACCAAAATTTGCTAGTTTTTAAAAAAACAGAAAGCAAAAATCCCCACTGGTGTTGAAAAAGCACCATAACAAATTATTTTTACTTTGTCATTAAAATACTGCAAATAACGGTTTATAAGGGTCCTTCTTAGTGTATTATTAAGGTTACATAAATACTATTTACTTTGGATGGTTTTGTTTCTCCCTCTTCAGTTCTTTTCTGAGCGAAATTAGCTTTCAAATCCCAGCCAATTTCCCTGGCTACCATAAAAATAAATTTAAGATGAAACTCAGAAATAAAAAGCCACCTCCCCCTCCCCAAACGTTCACCCCGTAGAGCAAATTATGAAAAACAAGCCATTGACAAAAAGCCGAGCAGATGCTCCCTGCTTGCAGTCCTTCCTCGGCAATGTGAAACAAACCCAACAGATGCCTCTCTTAATTGAGCACATGGATTACATACACACATGCACTCTGTCCTGCTTAAAACAAAACACGCACAAAAATCAAACAGGAAAATAGCCAGAGAACTCTTCCCAAAGCCTAGGCAAGCAGGA